ATGGAATATTACTCAGCCATTAAAAAGAATTCATTTGAATCAGTTCTAATGAGATGGATGAAACTGGAGCCCATTATACAGAGTGAAGTAAGCCAGAAAGATAAAGACCATTACAGTATACTAACACATATATATGGAATTTAGAAAGATGGTAACGATAACCCTATATGCAAAACAGAAAAAGAGACACAGATGTATAGAACAGACTTTGGGACTCTGTAGGAGAAGGCGAGGGTGGTATGTTCTGAGAGAATAGCATTGAAACAAGTATACTATCAAGGGTGAAAGAGATCACCAGCCCAGGTTGGATGCATGAGACAAGTGCTCAGGGCTGGTGCACTGGGATGACCCAGAGGGATGGGATGGGGAGGGAGGTGAGAGGGGGGATAGGGATGGGGAACACACATAAGTCCATGGATAATTCAGGTCAATGTATGGCAAAAATCACTACAATATTGTAAAGTAATTAGCCTCCAACTAATAAAAATAAATGGAAAAAAAAATAAAGAAAGAAAGCTGTTTCATGACCCAGAATCTAACATGAGGGTGTTTTTAATATTCTGTAATTATAATTTACCTGGTATAAGTGCTACTCCTAAAAGAACATTCATTATATATAATTTAATTTATAAAATATTATATCTTTCAAAAAATTAATATAATGTTTTGACATTTAAGATCAAAGATGATTTAATATTTCCCAAGTAAAACACCATCAAGTACAAATATTACAAAGAATCTCTGAGTGTTAATGAGTCTAAATCATGTTGTATACCTTAAGTATGTACAGTTTACATATTTTTGTACATATAAGAAAGGGCCATTCACTTTAATAGAGTTTTCTGAACATTTTTGTGCTCATGTGGTAGTTGCTCTTTAGGATCCCAGTTGGAAAACGACTCTGCAGACACACTCTTTAGTTGAAAAACACTATCTTTCTGACCAGTGGAACCAAATGCTTGTTTAGTGTAGAGATGCAGGTAAAGAGTATCTCTTTTCAGGCCCTCCCGCTCCTGCCCTGGGGCTGAGATCCATCAGAGAGCTCTGCTGTACCCTTGACAACCAGAGGTGAATCCATGCTGTCTAAGCCTAGGATCAACATCTGGGAGAACAGACTGAGTTGATCTCATCCAGGACAACCCATTCTCCTTTTTATTAAGTCCTTATTTAGCTGAACTATAAATATTATTAAACATTTGCTTATGAGCTGCCAGAGCACCATGCTGTTCAACAGATGAAGCTGGTGTGTTTTAATTTTATGCACTCTGAATGTGCTTAGTTTAGTTTCCATTCTGCACTCTACATTTGCCTAAGTTCAAGTTATTGGAAAGAATTTTTACCTACAATCCAAGGCACAGATTGTCTTAATTTTTATTTTCTGTTGTTGGTGGGGTGGGGGTTGGTGTGGGGGCATGTGTGAGAACAGAAGGATTATGGGGGTGGAATGGGTTATGACACATTTTCATTTGCAGCTGCTATAACTCCCTTGCCTTAATCCAGCCCAGATCTCAGCGGAAACCTAAAACCATTCCAGTGACCCTAGAGTTGCACCAGCACCTCAAATTGCCAAATAAGGTAAGTCGTTTGTTATCTGAGCCATAAATATTTACATCCACTAGTGACAAATGTATAAAAAGTGTGGAGTGACTGTGTAATTTCAGCTGCCCTCTTCAAGCCTGTCAATAGTTTCTGTTATCTCCTGAAAGCCCCAATGACTGATGTGTGCTAGTTTAGTAAGAATGCGCTCACCAGCTTGTTACCCTCCTCTAATTGCTCACTATGACCACATTTGTCACCTAGAAAGTTTTCTCCTTTTAAATTTAGGGCCTGTTATATGAAATTGTTTGGACTGGCAAGCATCCATCACCTTCCTGACTTTCTTCATTCCTTTATACGTTCTCTTTCTATTGTTACCAAAGCCTAAGAGATCATCACCATTTCTTTTTCTTCTTCATTTTGCCAACATAACAGAGACAAAACAATTTCACTTTTCTGATTTTTTCTGCATATAAATGACTTTGAAGGGTAAATCTTAAGAATGTGTTTAAGCAATGCTTAGGCATAGGCTGATGCTTTCTAAATCTTATAGGTGACCACACCACAAAGCACTTATGATTTGCTTATGTTTCAAGCAAACCCAGTGAAAAATCTTTCAAATATTAAGTGGACAGAAACAGAACATGCTGAGGGCAAAATGAATCCTGTTTTATTTTTGCATCAAGAGTGAACCAGTAAGAAAAATGGAAAATTAGTAACATCACGCTGTTGGTCTTTTGACCAGTAGGCCAATATGTAGAGCTTGTATTTTTATATAATCACTAGGCAAAGAATTCCAAAGATCAGATAAGGTGGAAAAAAGTATATTTAATGAATTTAAAAGATAAGACCTAACAATATTTAAACATTTGGATAATTCAATTTTTAAAGATTATTTTGTTAAAAGGATTTTTTGATTGTTACTCAGCTCAGTTCAGGTCAGCAGCTCAGTCATATCTAACTCTTTGCAACCAATGGACTGCAGCATGCCAGGTTTCCCTGTCAATCTTCAATTCCCAGAGCTTATTCAAACTCATGTCCAGCAAGTCGGTGATGCCATCCAACCATCTCATCCTCTGTTGTCGCCTTTTCTTCCTGTCTTCAATCTTTCACAGTATCAGGGTCTTTCCCAATGAGTCAGTTCTTCTCATCAGATGGCCAAAGGACTGGAGTTTCAGCTTCAGCATCAGTCCTTCCAGTGAATATTCAGGACTGATTTCCTTTAGAATGAACTGGTTGGATCTCCTTGCAGTCCAAGGGATTCTCAAGAATCTTCTCCAACACCACAATTCAAAAGCATCAATTCTTTGGCACTCAGCTTTCTTTATAGTCCAACTCTCACATCCATACATGACTAATGGAAAAACCATAGCCTTGACTAGACGGACCTTTGTTGGCAAAGTAAAGTTTCTGCTTTTTACACTTGATCTTAGCCAAAAGGCCGAGAAGCGATGAGTTTCTGCTTTTTAATGTGTTGTCTAGGTTGGTCATAGCTTTTCTTCCAAGGAGCAAACATCTTTTAATTTCATGGCTGCAGTCACCATCTGCAGTGATTTCGAAGCCCCCTCCCCAAATAAAGTCTGTCACTGTTTCCATTGCTTCCCCATCTATTTGCCATGAAGTGATGGGACCAGATGCCATGATCTTAGTTTTCTGAATGTTGAGCTTTAAGCCAACTTTTTCACTCTCTTCTTCCACTTTCATCAGCAGGCTCTTTAGTTCTTCTTCAATTTCTGCCATAAGTGTGGTATCATCTGCATATCTGAGGTTGTTGATATTTCTCCTGGCAATCTTGATTCCAGCTTGTGCTTAATCCAGCCCAGCATTTCTCATGATGTACTCTGCATATAAGTTAAATAAGCAGGGTAACAATATACAGCCTTGACATACTCCTTTTCCTATTTGGAACCAGTCTGTTGTTCCATGTCCTGTTCTAACTGTGGCTTCTTGACCTGCATACAATGTCTTAGGAGGCAGGTCAGGTGGTCTAGTATTCCCATCTCTTTCAGAATTTTCCACAGTTTGTTGTGATCCACATAGTCAAAGACTTTGGCATAGTCAATAAAGAAGAAATAGATATTTTTCTGAAACTCTCTTGCTTTTTTGATGATCCAATGGATGTTGGCAACTTGATCTCTGGTTCCTCTGCCTTTTCTAAATCCAGCTTTAACATCTGGAAGTTCATAATTCACCTACTGTTGAAGTCTGGCTTGGAGAATTTTGAACATCACTTTGCTAGCATGTGAGATGAGTGCAATTATGCAGTAGTTTGAGCATTTTTTGGCATTGCCTTTCTTTGGGATTGGAATGAAAACTGATCTTTTCCAGTCCCATAGCCACTGCTGAGTTTTCCAAATTTGCTGGCATATTGAGTGCAGCACTTTCACAATGTCATCTTTTAGGATTTGAAATAGCTGAACTTCAATTTCATCACCTCCAATAGCTTTGTTCGTAGTGATACTTCCTAAGTCAAGTGATACCCACTTGACTTTGCATTTCAGGCAATCTGGCTCTAGGTGAGTAATCATACCATTGTGGTTATCTGGTTCAGGAGGATCTTTTTTGTATAGTTCTTCTGTGTATTCTTGCCACCTCTTTTTAAGATCTTCTGCTTCTTTTAGGTCCATACCATTTCTGTTCTTTATTGTGCTCATTTTTAATGGAATGTCCCCTTGTTTTTTCTATTTGTTTTCCTTATTTCTTTGCATTGATCCCTGAAGAAGGCTTTCTTATCCCTCCTTGCTATTCTTTGGAACTCTGCATTCAAATGGGTATATCTTTCTTTTTCTCCTTTGCCTTTTGCTTCTCTTCTTCTCTCAGCTATTTATAAGGCCTCCTCAGTCAACATTTTTGCCTTTCTTTTTCTTGGGGATGGTCTTGATCGTTGCCTCCTGTACAATGTCATGAACCTCTGTCCATAATTCTTCAGGCACTCTGTCTATCAGATATAATCCCATGAATCTATTTGTCACTACCACTGTATAATCATAAGGGATTTGATTTAGGTCATACTTGAATGTTGTAGTAGTTTTCCCTTTCTTCACTTTAAGTATGAATTTGGCAATAAAAAGTTCATGATCTGAGCCACAGTCAACTCCTGGTCTTGTTTTGCTAACTGTATAGAGCTTCTCCATCTTTGGCTTCAAAGAATATAATCAAATTTGATTTCAGTATTGACCATCTGGTGATGTCCATGTGATTGGTACTAACTGAATATATACCTATATTATAGGTATTTTTGTTGCTCAATCGCTAAGTTGTGTTCAACTCTTTGAGAGCCAATGGACTGTAGCCCACCAGTCCCCTCTGTCCACGTGGTTCTCCAAGAAAGAATCCTGGAGTGGGTAGCTATTTCCTTCATCAAGGTATCTCCCAAGATCAGGGATCAAACCCACATGTCCTACATTGGCAGGTGGATTCCTCACCACTTAACCACCAGGGAAGCCCAAACATTCTAAGTATAGCCTTCAAGAAAATGGTTAAAGATTTTCTAAAATGCTATAAATTCATGATTTTGATTTGATGCCTAAATTCATAGTTTAGTGATAGTTTTTCCCTATAGTAAGAATTTAGATACAACAAAAACATTAACAGATCCTCAGAAAAAAACTAAGTTGGTAACTTGCAGAAATTTACATCATATCTGAAAAGAAGATTCAACTCACAGATCCTCCTAAAAGTTTTCTAACACTTCAGGCTAAATTAAGTGCTACTCTTTTCCAGCTCCTATACATTCCTATGAATATTCCTATTATAGTACCACCCAGAAATTTCAATTCCTTGAATCAGGACTCTGCTGATTCATTTCAAAGTCTCAAATATTAAGCACAAACATTAATTTGAGCATAAAAATATTAGTTGAATGAGTGAATGAAAAAAGAAGATGATAAAGACAAAGTGGAAAAGATCTTAAGAGAGGGGGTATTAAATCTTCTAAACTCTTGATGAGAATAGGTGGGTATCACAAACAATCTGTGTGTGTGTGTGTGTGTGTGTGTGTGTGTGTGTGTGTTCACAGTATCTACTATATAAGACCATTTTTCAAGAGGCAATGACTTATAAAAGATTAAGCAGAAATGAACTGTGGAGCCTGAGCTGACTTAGGGAGAGTCATATTTGTAGCCTTAAGAATTATTTGGAATTCAGTTACCTGAATTATCAGCCATGTGCACAAGATAATTTTCACTAACACTTTGGCTGCTATCCAGGCTCAGGGGCACAACTTGCCTCTAGTATACAACTGCTTTTTCACCCTCTGCTCTGCCTTCCACCTTCTAAATGTTCAGTGCCCTCTTAATGGTTCCTAACTGTGCAAAGTTCTTCCCTTCCCACTGGGGCTTTATATTCTCCAGGCTCCAAAATTTCCTTTTTTCCCTGCCCAGCAAAGCTCTTATTTCCTGAGTTACTTTTCAGCTTCATATTCATATGATTATTCAAATAATTGCCACTATGACTTACAGATTTGATCTCCTCAGGATATTTGCTTTTAAAAAGAGGAATTTGCTAATCCAAATTAGTTTATAATTGTTCAAATATTTATCTGAGAAAAGATGAAGATATTTTAATTAGAAGGCCTTTTGGTGGCTCTTTCTATTCATACCTACCCTGGCTGTGCATGCACTCCCACACTTACTCATCAAATAGCACAATATACAAATAAACGCTGTTCAGTTTCATATGATCACACCATGTATCTTTCTATGTTCTTTGGCCAGTGTCTTTTTATCCCAAAATTCCCAGTGAAAGAAGAATTACAACAAACAAATGCAACAAAGTTTAAAAGAGCCATCATTCAAAACAGGAGTCAGAGTGCATAAAAATGTCCAGTATCTGAGATGATGCTGTATTGTGGCAGGTCATCTAGATCAAGATTTATGGCATTTGGAAACTCATTTAGGCTTTTATCCACCATTTCCTTATGTGTAAAGTGGGAATAAATGCTGTTACTATGGATCGAGGAAGTAATGTATATGAAAGCGCTGAGTAAAATAATCATCTTAAAAATATAAAACATTATTAATATCAACTACTGGAGAATA